ATGTTGGCGGCGTTCTAATTTTTTTTTTTTTTTTTTTTTTTTTTTAATAACAGAACCGTGTCAAAAACCAGTTAGACAAAAAAAAAAAGCACATTTAATTCCTATTCTAAACATGTACATATATATATACACATAGACCGACAATGAAGTGTGGCATGGAATCCTGTGCGCGTGTGCTTCCTCTTTTCCGTTTCTTACATAGCACAATGGAAAGGACTTGCTTCGACTTTCACAATGGTTGCACATACACATGCACGCACACTTAAGTAGGCCTTTTGAAGAAAGACCCATACATGTGCATAGACATGGATACCAAAAAAAAAAAAAAAAAAAAAAAAAAAAAAGAAAGAAAGAAAAAAAATAAGTAAAGAATTCCTTCACGATTTCTTTTATGAATCTTTTATTTATTTTTTTTTTCCTTTTTACAAATATACTTTAAAGGGAAACTGTTCCTTAGATGGGCTTTCTTTTTTGCTTTAAAGTACCTTTTTCAGTAAAGTATTTATTCCATTTTCACAAGTATTTTAATTTTCCATTCATGCCTTCGTTGCTGCACAATCTCACTCACACATTCACATAGTTTAGCCATATTTATGCAATTACAATTCGTGTGGTTAGAAAAAGTTCCAAATTTTCCATAAATATTTTGAAACTTTTTTACTTTTATACTTTTATAAACATTTTCTCATCAAATTATTGCATAGTTTCTTATAAAAAATCACTTTAATCGAACTGAAAAAAAAAACAATTTTATAGAAAGTTTGCAATTTTTTTTTTCTATTTAGTTTTTCTTTTTTACGCTAAGAATTTTTCATATCGGTTTTCTCGTTTGCGTTTGTGTGTGTGTTTATCTAACTTGACGTTTCTGTGTACGACCGCCTTGAAAATCAATGTTAAATTGCCACTTTTTGCTTCTTCTTGCCGTGCTTCTACTATTTTCATTGCTCATGAAAAACAAGAAAAATTACAATAACAACAATAAAACTCTTACATATGCAATAAAATATGAAGTGAAAATTTTTCTTTTCACCCACTCAAGAGCATTGCAGAGATGGAGAACTTAGATAGACAGAGAGTGAGAGAGAGAGAGCGTGAGATTGGGAGAGGGAGAAGAGAGAGCCATGCAGAGAAAAGGAAAACATGGAAGAGACTGAGTGAAAAATGGATGGAACTGAATGAAAAATTTCACTTTTGAGTCGTTCTCTCGAGTTAAAGTTTCTAATATAATCTGATTTCTCCCAATATTCGCATTGTTGCGTTGCTTTATATGCGTGTACAGATGTATGCGTATAAGCAAAACCGGCATTTTCTATGTGGAATATAAAATGAATAAATAATGTGCTATTATGCATGAGTGTTGAAATAGCTTCCATAACTGCAATGATTCATTTTGAAGCTCATAAAAACAATTAAATACGTAATTATTGTGGAACTTGTGAAGAAATCAAGTTAAAGATGACGAAAGTTTTCCATTCTCTTCTTACGACGAGAAATGATAAGCAAAATAAATAGCCCAAAACGATTAAGGATTAGGCAGTTATGCTGGCTACTAGTTTACTGATGTACTTATTATACAATGTGAACCAAAGTCAAGGGTCGAAAAATTAACATGCTACCATCTCTACTAAGAAGAATTATATAGCAACAGCTTACGCAGCCCAAAAATATATATTTACATAATTTATTAGGTGTGCAACATCGACTCACTTTACTTTAGAAGATGACTTTTTCTTTTAAAATTAGCAAGAGACATCATAATGAAGTGTACATAAGGGAGCTTTGAATGGGTTTAATTCTGTGACAAACGAACACCATTTGTGATAAACTCTACTATTTTCTGCTTAGTATAAAGGACAGTGCTTCTAAACCATTATGAATGATGAATAGCGAACGTCCTACGATATCCAAAGCCCAGATAACGGACAAACAGAGTGGGCGAAGCCTTAGTACCAACAATAAAGCTGAATATTGGAGGTTGACAATGTAAAGTGAAAGCAATTATTTAGTCACACTTGACAGAAAGCCTTATTTTCCTTGGCGTCAATTCGGGCCTTGCTTGGGAAGCCAATTATCGTAGCGTGTCTTGAAATTTATCGTCGCCCGTTGTCAGTGACTTCAAACACCGCTAAGTGTCGCTTCATTTCAGCGGCAATTCGTAAACACTTTTAAAACGTAGATCATTATTGGTACATGTGATACCCAAATTTCATTCAGGGCAGCGCGTCTTTGATATCGAAATTTTCGGAAGCGAATCGATTTCTTTTAACCGGATAAACTAATGTAGCAAAGTTTTTCTTTTCAAGTTGTCTATGGACTTTTACGGCTTGATAACGTTAGGATTACTATAAAGCCATCAATAGGAAAAAACCATAAGAACTTTTTTCCTGGACAATATATTATAATGCAGTTACATATAGATGACCTTGTATGTACATAAAGAGAATTTGCGAGACGAAAAGGAGAATTTTGCGGTCTATAAAGATCGAGTAATTAACAACTTATAGATGACTTTTCACTCAATAGCCATAAAAACTGTCTCATGCACTTTGTCAAGAGTATTCAATATCAATGATTAAATAGTTTAGAGAGTGTTAGCATCAAAAAGTGTTATTGTCACTATCATTTTCGAGTGATGGTCATAATTGTTATGCCAGTCAATGACAAATACCGCAGGAAATTTTAGCATGCAAATTAAATAAGATAACCCTTTATGTAAAACTCAAGATCTGGCAATGAAAGCCTGTATTTTTCTATTTACCTGCGAGGTATCCTTTAAGCCGAATATATTTTGCGCAACTTTTTCCTAGTGAAAAGACAACATCATCGAAATGAGAAGTGAGAAGTATTTAAAGACATACTCTCTCTCTCTCTCTCTCTCTCTGCTACGAGTCGCCCAACATATGTTTTAAACCGAAAAAGTTAAATGTTCTTTTCTTTGGGCATCCTCTTTAGTATTATATTACTAAAGCACATGATGGGGAAGGAACTGTTTTCTTTTATAATCTATTGTTTCACATAGTTGGTTCCAAATCTTCATTGGCGACTAATTCTGCCTCTCTTCTGTTCAAATTCAGCATTGGTTTGAACAGTGTGCTAGAACGTAGTACCACCTCCCGGTGGTCTGCCAATTCTAAACGAGGTTCTGCGGATACAGATAATACCAAACGCAGTAGACAACAAGAGATTTGGTTAAATCACAGGACGTCTAAGAAATCGATAAACGAGATGTGAGGTTGTAAGGAAAAAAGGTGACCTTAAAGCCTATATATGGAACTAACCGTATCACTCTGAGTTGGTGAATAAAATCGCACTTTGTAACAACTCTTAATCAAGAGAATTATTTATGTAAAGTACGCAAAAAGTTGTCGCCCTACAAACGCAAATTTTCGAAGCCGTCATGCAGCGTCGAAGCCTACTTAGGTCGTGTTTAAACTTTATAATTATAATAAACATTTTTCCAACACCTACACACTTTACATCATCGCTTAGTTTGCTTAGCAATGTGCCATATTCGTTCCTCCTTAAAAATGATAGGATGATAGAAACCAAAATCACGCGATACGTTGACGTATTTACAGTGCACGGAAGCTTGAATGTAGATATTCATGCCTGATATGTGGAAAAATAAAACTGCCGTTGAACAAAATATTCTCTCCTCCGTTTTAGTTCGATAAATAATGTTGACATACTTTGATCACTGGTAACAATTTTATAAACGACCTTGCATTTAAATTTTGTAACAATACTCCATTCACAAAATCACTCAAGTGTTTCTCTTTTATACTCTTACTTTCTCTTTGTTCTCTTTACTTTTCTTCTTAGTCTCACTAACTCTCTCTTTATCTCTCCCTCTCCGCATCTCTTTATCTTCATTTCTCTTTCCCTTTCTCACAATCTTTCATTCTTAGAAATGTATATTTTGAAGTAGACGGGCAGCTGGGCAGCACTGACAATGGGTGGAATATAGTGATAATGAATGAAATATATTTTTATAAGAATGTATAGCATAATGAGGCCTAGCGGCGATTCCGAAATGTGGATTACGTATAGGAAATTTTTGACACAAGAAGAATAAAAAAGAGGAAACGTAATAAGAAACACGGAAGAAAAACGCAATACATGTGCGATAAATTAATTAAGAAAAACTTGATTATGTCGTCAATAAGCTAAGAGACAGGTAAGGCATTCTTGTAAGCAAACATGCGAGCAAATTTAACACCGATTTCTGTTATTGTCAATGTGCTTTATTTTCATAACATCCGTCTGACTGGCCGAGTAGGCAAAGAGTCTCGACTAACGATTCAATGGTCGTGAATTCAAATCTGAAGCGCTGTAGAGTTTACAAAAAAGCCGATAGCCTTAGATGCTAATGCTTTAAGACTTTAGTCTTAGCGTTTATTCTTTGGCTAAATTAATAATAATAATAACATTTTCATATCCATCCATAAAGAGTGAAAGTATGTTAAATTTCTTAGTCCGTTTGGAACACTTAAACATATGCTTGGCGGAAAGCTTCAGCTTAGATTAAACACAAAAGTAAGGAATATGGCTGTATGGAGTAGGGCGCCCAAAAGACACTATAACTGCGCGTAAAACAGAAGAAAAATTTGAGAAATATCGTCTCTCGTAATTATGAGACTACCGAAGAATCGAGAAATTATTTGATTTAAATAGCTATCAGGACCTGTTGTGGAAGTTACAGACAGAAACTGCTGAGACGCTCGCAAAGTTTCTATTTATATGCAAACTGGCAGACAGAAGCGTAGGGTGTAGAGAAAACTTTTGTGAAAACATTACACATTTTCGTCTGCTGATGACTGGGGTGTCGCGAAAAGCTGGCCAATAACATTTTTACGGCATGCGGGCTAAAGTTAAGACATTTTAAATTTGTTTAGTTGCTCTGCTGTGTGAAAAGAATTATTTGGCTATCAGTGCAAATTATTTGTCCCTATTAATACAAAAAAAAAAAAGTCACATAATTTAGCTGACTAAAAATATACCTTAGTTCATTCCTCTTTCATTCAGCGGAAACGGTATTTAATAATAAATTTTGTATAATCTTTCGGAAATTTCTTCTTTTTTGTTTTTTGGGTTTTTTTTTTTTTTTTGGTAGTCACTTATATGTGAAAAGGGTTCTCTTCATAGGGCTTTATTTGACTTTTCTTTTTTTTTTTTCTTATATTTTCGTTATATAATTTTATTCCTGCCAGCACTTAAAATTTAAGGTTTTTCTAATTGGTGTTAATTTTTATTTAACTTAAGAGGAAAATTTTCTAGTTTTTATTGAATAAAAATATTCTTTTTTTTTTTGTTGTTTTTTTTTAATGGCACAAATCACTATTTTGCGTATATTTTCTGGTTAATAATTTTTAATGTGCGTGTACAACGCGCGCGTGTCACTCTCTCATTTACACGCAGCTACTAAAAATTAAAGGGTGGCAGCAAACACTTTAGTACCCTGCAATTTTCATCTAACTTTCGTTACTCTCGCCCTTAACGTCACCGCGTTTATTTGCATTAAGGCTTAAACATATACCGCTTTACAATATGAAAATTTTTAATAGCCTGCGCATTGTGAGAAATTTTGTAAAATTTACCCTTAAAATTTGTTCAATAATTTAAAACCCTTGCTAATACTGACTGACTGCTTTTCTAGATATGTTACACCCTCTTGATTGGATATTGCATTTTTTTATTAAAAAAAAAAAAAAAAAAAAATTTAAATATATATATATATATATTTTTTATTTCATTTTAATTTTTTTTTTTTATTATTTTTTTTTTTTAATAAAATTTCATCATTTGCTTAAAAATGCCTTAACTCGGAAACTTTTCATATAAAATTAAACATATTCATGATTGTGTTTTATTTGTTTTTGTTTGAGTTTTAAAAAGGCATGCATTATTCCTCTCTCTCTCTCTCTCTTTCTCTTTCTCTCTATCTCTCCATCTCCCATGCTATACTTTCTAACATTACAGCAACTGTTAATGTAAAAAAATCATCTTTAGGTTATGTTAAGAAGAAAAGCTCAAGTGTAAACATAACATTTTAATAAATTATGTTATATAAACATTTGTTAATAATTTATTTATTCGTTTCCAATCGAAAGCTTTATGAATAACTTTCATTCGCACATAAGTTTGACCACAAATAATTGAGCCTAAGAAAGCATGGAAACAGATGTTAATTAATTGTGAATATCAGTTCATCTGCGAATCAATTCCATAAGCAAAATTTATATGTGACTTGTAAAGGTTCAATATTTTTTTCATCAACTACACTATCCGACTTGCTCGATATTCGAAATTTTTGCTTGTTTATCAGAAAATAGAGAAATATAACTCATGTGCCTGCCTGTTGACCTTGTCAACTATCACTTTTCAGATATTGTTAAGAATATTTAAGGAAATCTAAATCTTTTCCTTTCATGTTACTTTTACCAATGAGGGTCAGACGTGTTACATACAAATTTCGTCAATGCATTTGCAGTATGTTAGACTTTCTATAATATATTGGTTCTAGTAATATGTTTTCGATCGTGTTGTGGCGTTATGATGGGTTGAAAACCGTAAGAGCTTATCCTTGTGCTTTCTTTCCTATGTTTTGTGACGGTATCAACTAAACTCTTCAATATCAAACCAGTTTGTTGTAATGGATTGCTAGAAACACGAAAAATGTGTTTATGACCTGTGACGTCTTTGTCACGTAATTTTCCTTAATTTCAAATATCATCATATATAAGAACAAGTTGAGTGAATGAGGTAAATATTAGGTGTACAAATAAATTCTTTTTTGCTTTCAGTAAAATTCAAATTTACTTAAACCATGCTTGTTATAGAGTGTAATAAGTAAAATATTCACCATTACAATCGATTGTCTTTGGCTGTTGCTAGACAGCGTAGGGGAGCGCTCACGGAAGAGGATGCCTTGGTTTCGATCCGAAATAGTCTTCCCGCCATTTTCAGATATCTTTAACTTGCCGGAAGCTGCTCATCTGAATCAGTTTTAATCAGAAGGAGACTGGTCCGAAGAATTCCCCGCAATTTCGAGAAGCTCTCTGCCCACATCGGAGACCCTTGTCTTAGTTCCTTTCACTGTAGATGGACGGACGCATGCGAATGCTCATGCACATTTGATCAGAAATGGTCTTTTTCCTCAAGCGTGCCATCCATTGATTTAACTGGTTGGGCTTACATGTATGCTTCGGATATGAGAGTTTTGTCTGCCTTTAGAAGTTTGTAGTAGATGATTCCCTTCCAATTCCTTCCAACAGACCTCAAGAGCGTTCATCTCTCAAAACACTTTCTCACTTTTTCATGGCTAACTGCATTTCCAACTTAACCATTTGCATAGCTTCAACTGCAGTTTTTTCCAATTTACCTGCTGCCTCTTGCCGTCCATTTCTTTATATTACGCTTTGATATACCCCGAACAACAGATTGTAAACAACTGCCGCACAAATACCGCTGTCTAAGCTGCCCACACCCAGTATTTTGAGAAAAAGTAAGGCATCATATGCGTCTTACAAAGCAATCAACTTCACCACCGACAACTTATTTCTAAACCTAGTACATGACTGTCTAAAAACTCAGCATTTTTATAACTATCAGCGAAGAAAAAGGCTGCGTCATCGTCATTTGAAAGATCTAAAAGTACGCATCAAGTGCACAGTAAAACACATATGTTTCATAATCAATGCAATATTTTGAATCCATTGCGCTCTGTTGTCCCTCCCGCCAGTTCTCCATTTAACTGTCTACGTTCCACAGGTTCATGATTGCAAAAATTTAGATAAAAAGCGCTACTTAAACCATGAGATTAAAAATCACGTTCCCAAGAGATGTTTGCGATACGTGTACCGCAGTGATGGTCCGAAAGAAGTGAAGAAACAAATAGGAAATGACCGCAACGTAGTGGTTGTGTGGCCAATCGTTAAGTGTTGATTGAGTACTCACTAAAGCTATGACCAATTGTGGTCTGTCGCTTTGATATTTAAACACGTGGGCATCGACTTGGTAGTGGCGACTCGCGGCTATGTGGGGTACAAATTGTTCGAATCGATGTCAATAATTTATCTGAAATAACGTAGTTGCACTTATTTCCAGCTTCACACGCTGCTCGAGATCCTCGCCGATGTCTAAGAGCAAAGTTTTTAATAACAAAAAAACAGAACGTCATGCAATGACGCAATATTTGTTAATTTTTACTATACTACCGCCCGTATATAAAAGCAAGAACAATGCAAAGAATGCAATATTGCTGGCTCATACATAGACAATTAACATTTCGAACCTCAACCTTTTAAATGGAATCAACCATAAAAATGGAAATTTACGGATTCTATCTGTAAATATAGTTCATATATTCATATTTTTTGCTTTGTTCAAATGTATTATTCACTTAGAATATATGGATTTACTTTAAAGCTTTCTTTCGTATTTTTTTTTTTTTCTTTTTGTTTTGTTTTAAATCCGCAGTAGTTTAACCTTCAGTGTGCTGTTTTAGAGACACTTGAAACATGATTGGCCTGAAAATCGACAACAACCATATTAATACGTTAACAACATATCGCGGTTTTTTCGCATTATTGCATTTCATCAACATTTGAAGTAGATCGTTACACTAGTCAAGTATTACTTACTTTGCTTTGGAGTAGGTATTTTCAGGCTTTCAAAGTTAGGATTTTTTTTTTTTTTAAACAGGTAGTAAAAGCCACTTATAACATATTTAGTATACCAAATTTTTGTTTTAATGTAAAGCATATATTCGGACTTTTTTCTCGTCCCTTTTTCAATATTACAGGATCATTTAACCATACCCAATAGGGTATTTTTGATGAAATGTAAACCATAATTTCGGACAGTGTGAAAAATGAATGAAATGTTAATTTAAATATGTATATAAAATAATTTTAATTATACTCAAAGATTTAATTACATTCATAGGTTAATATTTATATTTTTTTTAATAAATGTATATTAGCCTACCTATACATATAAATATACAAACGTTAAAGTATTTCCGTTTTTTTACGCATTTGAATTGAGATTAAATTTTTCCTCCTATGTCCGAAATTGTGGTTTTCATTTTCGAAAAAATTTAAAATGAAACAAATTATTAGGTTTTTAAATGATATATTTGTCCAATATTTATTATAAATACATATTTACATATGCATATATAATACATTTAAAAATAATATTTCAAATCTTTAATTCGTGACAACAAAGCCATTTCATTTTTGACTGTGAAACCTCCTTACCTTCGAAACATTTATGTTATTCGTACAAGTTTATGACACTGACCAAAGCGATTTTAAGGAAAATGACTAAATAAAAAAAGTTTTTTCGCTGATTTAAGTTAATGTAAACCCAGAAACAACGACTACAACAACAAATTCATATTATTATAAAGTAAGCAAAAGAAATGCTTAAGAAGGTCATAAAAAAAATATATATATATACATATATATATATATATGTAGTTGTGTTTCATTGGTTTCATTGTGTATTTCTTTTTTCATATTAAAGTTTTCATTAAGTTTTTTTGTGAAAGAGAGTAACATAAAATATTTAGGCCAACTAAAACCAAAAAGTAAATCTTAAAGTCGAGAAAATAAAAAAAAAAAATTCAAAATATTTCATCAATACAAGAAACGATCGGTACACGAAACTGATGAGAAACCGGAAAAGAGAATATTTGTAACATAACAGCAGATGAAGTAGAAAAGAGAGATATACGCAAGAAGATAAAAAATATAATAAAAGATTGATATTAGCACATTTTCATTGACGTCAATGCTTAAAGCAAGCAAGAGTTTAGAAAAAATCCCCTGAAAAAGCTAAAACTCTTACAGCAAATGCATGAAAACGTTACATTAACACATGTAATATTCGATAAGAAAAAATATTTAACCGCGTTAGTAGTTCGCTTTGATTGTGAGTACATTATTAGTAGGATATAGGCGAATAAGTCAACAAAACTTTAACTCACATAGATACATACATACGAGTGATGGAAAATATTATACGCTCAACTCAACAAGATATATTAATTTGAGAGGACCGTATGCGACAGCCTAGATTACTGCTTACAAAAGTATAAAACAATGATCAGTGGTCGATTTTTTGATCAATTTCAAAACGACTTAGCCGCTTTCATATTTTTTTTATCTGCTGGGACCGTAACAAGATAAGATATCGGTTATTCAAATCTCTACAAATAAAAATGAACTTGTGCATTGTATACGTGGCATTCCGAGTATGTGTAATGCTAGTACGTTGCAATAGATGGCGTTGTAGGCTAATTTCTGTGCTATTGGACCGATTGCAAGCAAATTTAAATATAAAATTTATATCAACATTACTATGACAGTAAACAAAACTCCAAGTCAGTAACTTCAAGTTTGTAGTTTGGATCAAGAAACCCCTTCTTCCCCACCAGGACAATTATGTGTGGTCTATTCACGTCTTGGAAAACCACCAGCTTTAATTTTTGTATATATTAGATTTTTCCTTTTTCTTAATATGACCAATGATCCAGGAGTTATCCTTTAAAATAAGGTGATGGTGAATAAGTGAAAAAAAGAGGCAAAGAAATAGAGAATGGACGAAGCCTAGTGGATGTGTATCTAAATTGATAAATGTTATGCGTTTACCCAGTGCGCACATACTATAACTACAGTCAAGCATTGTCAAATTGCACTGACCTATGACTGAAATATTTTTATTATTTAAACATTTTCCGCTTAAGGAGGAAGAAAATAATTATATTTATTCCCAGCCAAGCTTCACAAGCCCTCTGTACAGAAAATTATGATATAATATAATTCTTAATCCGTCTGAGTGGCCGAGTAGCCAAGAGTCTCGACTAACAACTCAGTGGTTATGGGTTCAAATCTCAAGTGCGGTAGAGTTTTTAATAAAGCCGATACCCCGTTTTTGCTACTGCTTTAAGACTTTAATCTTAGAATTTATTCTCTGGCTAAATTAATAGTAATAATAATAATAATAATAATAATAATAATAATATAATTCTCACTTCCCTAGATGCGAGTCCATTTGAGGTAGGAAATTGTTGACGCACAATTGATGAAGTTCCTGAGAAGAACAGCATGCTATGCCAGATGCGCAGATATTCACGGGCACAAGGAAAAGTGGCGTTCAAGCGCTTAGATACTTCCTTCGCTCCATACACTTTTCCAAGTCGCATTGGCAAGAACGCATTACAAGTTGAGTTTTTATGCCAGATATTCAATTTTATTATATGCGAGACTCAAGGCGTCAAGTATGCTTAGAAAACAAAAGATTTCTTCAAAATGTAAACAAATCTGTAGCGGAGATTCCTTACATGCTGAGTAAATTTAAAATCTTAACAAATTTTATGTAAAACTTGAAAGGTATGAAAAAGTTCGGTTTAAGCCATAAGTCAATTCTCTCTTTTTTATAGAGAGAGAGAGAGAGAGAGAGAGGTTTCTTTTCTTTTTTGGTTCACTTATCAGTTAAGCTAAGTTTTTATGCTGATATATTTTTATGATTTTCTTATACGTTTTTCGGAATTTCCAATTTTTATACAAGCGAGTGTGCGTTTGTATTAGTGTATCACTAGCTATACATAGACTGTGTTTTTCAATACCAAATATTTCTTCACGTATACACGATCAGTCTTAACTGGGCACGCTTAGCTGACGGCTGTTTCAATCAAACTTTTTCGTTTTAACTGGAAATACAAATGCAATAAAAGAAAACTTCAAGAAATATATAAAGAAATTTGAAAAAAAAAAAAAAAAAATTTAAAGAAAACCAAAACGATATATAAAATAAATAAAAAAAATAGAAAAATAACTTGTAAAATATATGTGAAAAAAAAATAATAATAAGGATAAGTTAAAAAATAAATGAAAAATTACGAAATATTGAAAAATATATTTTTGGAAATTTCATGCATCGGAATAATTTTATTTAAGCACAAAAGCAGACTAATTAAACAACAACAATAAGTTTTTCATACATTGGCTATTGTGCTTTAACGTGTTCTCTTGTTTACCAATTGTACTGTGCTGTTGTGTCTCTGTTGGTAAATAAACACAAATACATTTAAAACTTATCTCTAGAGCTTGAAGATTTTTCTTTTCATTTTTTCAAAAATTTATATGTTTCTGATTATACATTACAACGTGCTACGCTTGTGTCTTACATTTTGCTTTGCTTTATTTTGTTTTTTTTTTTTTTTTTTTTTTTTGTTATTTCTATGCTCTTAAGCCGCGTGCTACATATTATTTGTGATTCTCTTTAGCAAATCGCCCATATACGACGAAGTAGCTCAAAACAGCTAAAAGAGTTACGATGCAACGAAGCTTTGTGCGTAAAAATTGTAAATTATTTTGATCATTGTGGGCGTGTCAATCGGTCAATTGAAACTATGTTTAAACGCAGTTTTCGATCGCTACCACTCCGTGGGTTCTACCTACGATGGCCAACCCATTCTTGCCGGATGTATGTACGTATGTGCAGTCTGACTACACCCAGTTTTAAACTATATTTCAAGAAAGTCTTGGTAAATAGTTATCCTACCTGTTATCGACAAAATATCTGCTTGTCGTCAGTTGGTCAACCGGGGCGTTTTTGTAGCGGAAAGAACAGACGGATGGAAATAACAATACATTTGCACAAAATGCTCAGGTCATCTGTGAAGCCAGATTTTGTATCATAAAAACCAAAACCCAAATCTAGTACACTCCCTCCTCCCTTTCGTGGCTACAAAAATATTATTAAAACCAATAACGAAGATACCGTTGATTAATTGCAAGTATCAGCAAATCCACCGATGGTATAAAATTAACATATCAGTTATCACTTCTCAAAGGTTCAATATATTTATTTCATTGTTACCCTCTAATTGGTTTTCTAAACTAATTGCGATTCATTTCAATTCTCTAAACGTTTCATTTCTTAATATATTCAAGGCGTGTACGTAAAATCTTTAATTTTAACTTTAGTTATTTAGTTTTAAAGTATAAAACAAATTATAAAAAAACATGCAATAATTGTTAAAATACATCTCTGCTGGTTAAATATTTACCTAACCAAACATAATTATTTAGTTAGACATACATACGTTCACTTCAAATTGCTAGTGTCAGCATGAAATATGCGCAATATCTATTTAGAGGAGAGTTTGTTAGCTTACGAGTTAGTTTCATTGTTCTTAGATATATATATATATTCTAGTATTTCCTAATCAGTCAACGAAATGTATGTGTCTATCAAAAAATCTATATACGACTAACTATTAATTAAATCGCTACCCAAACAGGATAGTAATTATAAACTGCTTTTTCATAGCCACCCTCTAGAAATGAAGATATATTCATTTTTTCATTGCATTTGTAACGTTTAGCCATAATCGTCTGGCCATGCCCCATTCTTTAAAATGAAATCTAAAACCATTGCATACTCAAAGGGAAAGCTTCAGTTTCGCATATATGTTATCGCCTTATACGTCATCAAAAGGCAAAAGAATTATGATTTCCCCCTACGAAGCTGGCAAATATGCATTACCTGCTGTAGATATCATGTACATATATTCTAAAATATATACTCCGTTCCTTCTATCCCTTTTTACATTCAATCTTCGTATGTCTATCCGTCTCATTCTTACGAACTGACTTTGGAATTTCCTCCATTTTTCTATCCTTCCTTCATTCCTGTCTCCCCTCTCCGTCCGTAGTCCTGGACGTGCTTATACCAATACGTCTTTACGCCTATCCGCTGATTAATTCTTCGGTTCTTTGAATTATACTTAGGTATGGGAAACCTGTCCGCTTTCATCTGATATTAAGAGTCGCAAAATTACAAAACATGAATTGATTTCGAGTAGTGAAATTTAAAACGCGTTTCATTTAGGTCGACAGATTAAGCGAACTGCTGTAGCGCACTTGCAAATGATTTTATAATTGTTAAGAACCGAAAATGCATGAAAACCTTATGTGTTTTGCTTGTAACTGCGTGAGAAAGACTTCGCTCGTAATTATCGTGTACTATAAAAAGTGAAATTTCTCCCGTCATTCTAAAAAAAATTACCCTAGGAATATCTATTGTCCGTTTATTATTCCAGTGGGGGAAACCCGCCATCGATAGGTCATCGAGAGTAGCCGACGTCTTCGGCTTGCAGTCTGCTTTACTAACCAACCAGCTGCTATGAAGGGTCAAGATTTAACACAAATCCATAGCTTATTGAGGAAGCCAGGGAAGCGGTAGTATGAACGCCTTGGCATTGAGGCAGCAGCCCACGGTGTTGTGGATAAGCCAAATGCAAGAGTAACTATGAGCAAAATGCTGATAACTCTAAACATTATAGTCCAAACTATGGGCCCCCGTAGGTTCGAATGCCAAACTCGATAAGTCGCATGCGTAATAGATAGCCGAAGGTGTTTTTCAATTCGTACGCAAAGGCAACGTGGGAACGGCAGAGTTCCTAAACCGCATATCGCGAAGACGCAAAATAATTAGAGTTGTTAAGTAGACTCCGTCTTACCCAGAGAGAAGAGTTTTGATCATGCACAAGCCCTCGTATCGGGCACTGCAGCTTTGGATGGCACAATTTATCTCATAAGTCAATGGCCACTGTCTGATCAATTTTCTCTGACAGCTATAATCCTTTCATTCTAAAGGTTTATTACACTTTACATATGGAAAGAAAGAAAGCGCAGTTCTCCTGTCCAAAAATGCATTAAATCATGAGCGAAGAAAATACCATAAGCTAAAGTGTGTTTTAGAAATTGCTTTGAACTTCCCAATGCTAATTAGTAACAATTAAAAATAAAAATGAAAAATTTTAAAACATTTTCGTTAGTTACTTATAACAAGTGCTCCGAAACAAGTGCTGCAAATATTTATAGTCATCATTAAAAAAATTCATTGCTAAACTTGTATTGGTTTACCGACTGCAGTATGTCTGCGATAAATAAGAACTCCTTAAGATTTGTCTTGAGGCGTATTAAACTTTTTTCAATTGTCTCACATACTCCGCAGTTGTTTTGCACATTTTTCTTGTTATAAAACACGCAGACCAATAAAACATTAAGTCGTTCAAAAGATATTCAACGGTTAACAGATGTGAATATTACATTAAAGTAGTTCACATATATATATATATATACTTGACATTTGTGACTAACTAACTTTATTATCGAACTCGATGGGATTTATTTAACCATCATAACCTATATAATTAATAAAATAATTTATCCTTAACTACAACAACAATTTGTCTGAACGGGTAAATTGGGACATTTTTTTTTTCTTTTTAAAATTGTCTGACACCGAATAAAGTGCACGTGATAACGTAAACGATAGTTTACTGCCAGCTAGAAGACAATTACTAATGACATACACAAAGCAATTTTGAATAAATAAGTACTCAAGGTCATCATGTATGCCATAAAATAACATTTTCATAACTTGTTGCTTCAAATCAATGGACGGATAGGTAAACTTTGCAAAAAATAATTTGCCATCTATGCTGTATTAATAAGGAAGTGTATATGTCGAGTCAAGCTTTGCTTACTGCTTTTGGTATATAGTGCGCAATGACTTGAAACACTCATATGTTCCATACATTAAGTGTCTTTGCAAGAGTTTTGCGTATATCTTAAGCAATGATTGCAAAAAGTAGTAGTTTCAACACCAAGTCGACTTGGGAAGTCATTACCTAACAAGTAAGAACACTACAATTTGGCAGGGCCTATCATTAAATACCCTACAATTATTCGTACATACGCGTTATGTGACAAATATTAGGTTGGGGAAAAAGAAATCCATAATTTTTTCGGTAGATGGCTGCACTGATAGATTTCTCGTTAAGTATCGATCAAACAATTTCATATTTACGCTCGTTGGAAAGGTGACATTTCGCAGTAAAAAAAATTCTTTTGCTGTTTTTTGTTTGGTGCATTCAGTTGTGAGTTGCAGCGTGTTAAAAATGGAAGTGAACAAAGAGAAAATTCGGTACATTTTACAGTTTTTCTTTGACAAAGGCGAAAATGCAAGCCACGCGGCTAAAATTGTGAATGGTGTTTATGGTTCCGATACTGTAACAGCCAATTATGTGCAATTTTGGTTTCGTAGATTCCGTTCAGGAGTTTTTGATGTTAAAGATGCAGGTAAGCCGGTCGTCGAAAATGTCGATAAAATCGGAGAAATGATCGAAGTTGACCGGCATGTTAGCAGTCGTAACATTGCCCAGGAGCTAAAAATCGACCATAAAACAGTTGATGTTTGGGCGCCACACCAATTAACAGAAAAAAACATGATGGATCGAATTTCCATCTGCGAAGCCTTGGCCAAACGGAATGAAATAGACCCATTTCTTAAACGGATGGTGACTGGAGATGAGAAATGGATCACATACGATAACCCTGTGCGAAAACGATCGTGGTCAAAGAGCGGTGAAGCACCTCAAACGGCCAGGAAGGTTTTGCTATGCATTTGGTGGGACTGGAAGGGGATTATTTATTATGAGTTGCTTCCATATGGCCAAACGCTAAATTCTGATCTCTACTGTCAACAACTGGACCGTTTGAAGATAGCGATTGACCAGAAACGGCCAGAATTGGCCAACAGGAGAGGTGTCGTGTTCCACCAGGACAACGTCAGGACACACACATCTACAGTGACTCGCCAGAAACTTCGGGAGCTTGGTTGGGAAGTTTTAATGCATCCGCCATACAGTCCGGACTTGGCACAAAGCGATTATCATCTTTTTTCTTGCATTGCAAAATTTCTTTAATGATAAAAAATTGGAATCTAGGGAGGATTGTGAAAATCGACTATTAGAGTTTTTTGTAAATAGAGACCCTGGACTTCTTTGAGAGAGGCATTTTGAAGTTACCTTTAAAATGGCAACAAATCATACAACAAAACGGTGCATATTTGACCCAAATCGGACAATCCGAAGCATGTTAAATAAACTCCTGAAGTTCATATAAAAATAATGGATTTCTTTTTCCCCAAACTAATAATTGAAAAAGTGGGTCGATCCGAGCCATTTTTAATAGCGTTCACTTTGGACCAGAA